TAATATACAAGATAGGACAAATAACAGGACTAATATACAAGATAAGACATATAACAGGACTTATATACAAGATAGGACAAATAACAGGGCTAATATACAAGATAGGACTAATTAATATACAAGACAGGACAAATAATAGGACTAATATACAAGATAGGACAAATAACAGGACTAATATACAAGATAGGACATATAAGAGGACTTATATACAAGATAGGACAAATAACAGGACTAATATACAAGATAGGACTACTATACAAATTAGGACTAATTAATATACAAGACAGGACAAATAATAGGACTAATATACAAGATAGGACAAATAACAGGACTAATATACAAGATAGGACAAATAACAGGACTAATATACAAGATAGGACATATAAAAGGACTTATATACAAGATAGGACAAATAACAGGACTAATATACAAGATAGGACTACTATACAAGATAGGACTAATTAATATACAAGACAGGACAAATAATAGGACTAATATACAAGATAGGACAAATAACAGGACTAATACACAAGACAGGACAAATAATAGGACTAATATACAAGATAGGACAAATAACAGGACTAATATACAAGGAAGGACAAATAACAGGACTAATATACAAGATAGGACTACTATACAAGATAGTACTAATTAATATACAAGACAGGACAAATTATAGGACTAATATACAAGAAAGGACAAATAACAGGACTAATATATAGGACAGGACAAATAACAGGACTAATATACAAGATAGGACAAATAACAGGACTAATATATAGGACAGGACAAATAACAGGACTAATATATTAGTCCTGTTATTTGTCCTGTCCTATATATTAGTCCTGTTATTTGTCCTTTCTTGTNCAAGGGTACCATTGTGAATCAGACAAAGCTTACAAGGGTACCATTGTGAATCAGACAAAGCTTACAAGGGTACCATTGTGAATCAGACAAAGCTTACAAGGGTACCATTGTGAATCAGACAAAGCTTACAAGGGTACCATTGTGAATCAGACAAAGCTTACAAGGGTACCATTGTGAATCAGACAAAGCTTACAAGGGTACCATTGTGAATCAGACAAAGCTTACAAGGGTACCATTGTGAATCAGACAAAGCTTACAAGGGTACCATTGTGAATCAGACAAAGCTTACAAGGGTACCATTGTGAATCAGACAAAGCTTACAAGGGTACCATTGTGAATCAGACAAAGCTTACAAGGGTACCATTGTGAATCAGACAAAGCTTACAAGGGTACCATTGTGAATCAGACAAAGCTTACAAGGGTACCATTGTGAATCAGACAAAGCTTACAAGGGTACCATTGTGAATCAGACAAAGCTTACAAGGGTACCATTGTGAATCAGACAAAGCTTACAAGGGTACCATTGTGAATCAGACAAAGCTTACAAGGGTACCATTGTGAATCAGACAAAGCTTACAAGGGTACCATTGTGAATCAGACAAAGCTTACAAGGGTACCATTGTGAATCAGACAAAGCTTACAAGGGTACCATTGTGAATCAGACAAAGCTTACAAGGGTACCATTGTGAATCAGACAAAGCTTACAAGGGTACCATTGTGAATCAGACAAAGCTTACAAGGGTACCATTGTGAATCAGACAAAGCTTACAAGGGTACCATTGTGAATCAGACAAAGCTTACAAGGGTACCATTGTGAATCAGACAAAGCTTACAAGGGTACCATTGTGAATCAGACAAAGCTTACAAGGGTACCATTGTGAATCAGACAAAGCTTACAAGGGTACCATTGTGAATCAGACAAAGCTTACAAGGGTACCATTGTGAATCAGACAAAGCTTACAAGGGTACCATTGTGAATCAGACAAAGCTTACAAGGGTACCATTGTGAATCATTTTATCAATCAAATCATTTAGTTGGCACATTCTCTAATTGACAAATTATTTATGTGGCCAACTTTTGAATTAAAAATCATTTTTAAAACTGATCATTTAGTTTGAAAAATTATTAAATTGAGAAATTTTTTTATTAAGAAAAATTTTCATTGAAAGTCTGACTTTTAAAAAATGTTGATATAATGCGTAACAATAAACCCAGCGTAGTATTTACAAATTTACGCAATACCTAAACCTTGACGTTTTTGCGTACATTCAAGAAATACTTTAATTTGTAATTAAAGGGACTTCAGACGGAATGTAAGTTACCCCTCATGTATAAAGTGGCATATTCGATTCACAACAATGCACTTTAAGATTTTAACATGTTTTTTCTCGCTAAATATTTGATTATCCGCAACTGTGGTTTCTCTTTATATGCTCATTTTCAGATTTGTGCAGCAAAACAGAAACGATGAAGGAAACTGTCAGAATTCAACTCTTTTCAAACTAGGAAAACGACGATATCTTCCTGATGGTTCATCAGGTATAGGTTTAAAGGGGACCGCTGCAAATTGGAAAATTCTAAAATTACGTCTTAAAGGGACCCTCCATCCAATTAAAGAGAACCAAACCCAATTCACAACGGTCCAATTTAAAAATAATTTGGAAGATACCTTCGTTTTATTCGATCAAAACCTGTTAAATTCAGACAATCTCCTCCTTTGTTTCAAAATCGAAATGTGCAAGTTGATTTATTGAGAAACCACATATATAAAAATAATCGATCTTTCAAAGAAAAAATTATAGATATCTTACGCATTCTTTATCAGACAAAGGTTATAAAGGTACCATTATAAATCGGACATGCTACTCTATATATGGATGGTTACATGACATCACGCCTGTACAGTTTACAGTCCCTTAACCATGAATATATCATTTATCAATTTTTTAAACCCCTGGACGTTAAAAAAACAAGTTGTACAGCCGAAAAGGGGAATTCAAGCAGTCTTAATACAACTTTAATGCTAAATTTTCACACCATGAAGAGCGAGTTACAAGTTAAAACCCAATTTTAATAACAACAATTTGCATTGAAAGTAAGATTTAAAGATATCCCTAATGATATTTATCTGGTATATTCTGGTATAGTCTGGTATAGTCTGGTTAAACTATGTTCATGGTTTTATGTATGCATGTTAATCTTAGAATTTATTCCATTCATTGTATTTATTTTGTTCGCCGTGCACCGAAACCTAAATTTATATCGAAATGAACAACTTTTAGCAATTAGAGGGACTGTACATGCTTAAGTGATCCTCCACTCAAAAACGGCAATTTCCGATTCACAAAGGTACCCTTAAATATCATCATTTTACTAGGTTTACAGGTGTGTATTTCATACAAAATTCCTAAATGTTTTCCTGCTGTAAAAATGCAGAAGTCACTTTGGTGGAAAAATAACAAGGAACATGACCACACAAAACTTCTGAATCGGGCATTGACATCTTTGCTCGAAGAGTCACTTAAAACTACGCTAACAGTTCCTTTAAATATCATAAACAAATCCGCCCGCCCCCCCCCTGCACATTTCTTATTGGTATTCAGTTTGTCATTATTAAATCCGCAGGTCGGAATTAATGAATTGCGGGAAGAAGCTGAACTAGCTTAGAATAGTTGAACTTATTCTCGAGTTCCAGTTCAACTTCTTGTCTAATTATTCATAAAATCTAACCACGGAAGATAAAAAGCATAAAACCAAAAAAGACCCAAAAACATATTAACTCATCAGATCCATCTGGTGTCAAGTTGTTGAACTAAATGTTTGATTGTGTTGTGTGTACACTAGTTGCCTGATGTCCCGCTACTGTGGTGAGCCCGGGCTGGACCCGCTACATCTCTCCGTGAAAGGGCGCTGAAATAGTTCATGTTAAATAACTGGTCCCACGTAACATTTAAACCGGAGATGGTCAGACACACAGACAGGCAGACAGACAGACAGACGACCAGATAGATTATAGATAGATAGATAGACAGATAGACAGATAGATAGACATACAGACAGATAGATAAACAGATAGATAGAAAGATAAAAATAAATAAAGTGAAATGGATAATTAGACAAATAAATAAATAGGTAGATAGAATAATAAATAAAAATTGATATATAGATAGATTTATGAATCGCTAAAATATTATGGACATTAATGAATAACAGATTATATAAATCTATCTATATATATTATATAAATACATTATCACTCAGTTTGATAGAAAACACTAAACACTAAACACTAAACACTAAACACTGAACACTGAAGTATATACACTGAAACAGCATGTTGCAGATTTGATTTTATAGGCCACATGGATCAAAACTGCTATTAAAAGTTGCAACAATTGTCAAGAATGGATCAACTTTAAAGTGTCGCAACGTCTAGGCCCTTGATTTAACCCAACTAACTTAACTCACACTTGTAAGCTTTTTGTAGCCCAGGACATGTACTTATTAAAATTATAAAGCAGTTATTTAAGAAGTAGTTGGCAAAAATCGTTTGAGCTTGCAACATTTGGACACTGTGAGGCCTCAAACCAAAGAAACATAAATGTTTATTTTGAAACTAAAAATCTGACATGATAGCATTGATTGACAAGTCAATAACAGACACATTTTCCAGATAAAGAGACAAACTAATAGACAGGTTATAGACAAACTAATAGACAGGTTATAGACAAACTAATAGACAGGTTATAGACAGACAACAAGTAATAGTTAAGACAACAAAGGCAATTTACAGGCAAAATACCATCATTAGACAGACAAAAAGATAGACTGGCAAAAGATGTCAAACAGATATTACAGCAGTAGTTTGGCAACAGTGGTAGACAGTGTAGTAGACACCTCTAAAATACGACATCTGTTCTTTTAAAGTGCTTGAAGCAATCTGTGCTATCAATAGGTGCTTTTTTATGGTATTTAAAATAGATAACTAGATAGATAGATGGATAGATGGATAGATGGATAGATGGATAGATGGATAGATGGATAGATGGATAGATGGATAGATGGATAGATGGATAGATGGATAGATGGATAGATGGATAGATGGATAGATGGATAGATGGATAGATGGATAGATGGATAGATGGATAGATGGATAGATGGATAGATGGATAGATGGATAGATGGATAGATGGATAGATGGATAGATGGATAGATGGATAGATGGATAGATGGATAGATGGATAGATGGATAGNCAGGGAATTTTAGTAGGTCTGGTTCCAAGATAAATGATAAGAAAGGAAGGAACCCGTTTTATAATATTTATCTAAGGTCGATACTAGATTTTACATTTGTTTTGACTGGTCATATCCTGGACCCCCCCCCCCTTCTATGTCCATGCGCATTCCCAACTAAAAAATGTTATTTTGTGAAAGAAATTATCGGAAATCATTCCTATTGTGTAATCAAATCTTGGTGTTATATAAATCTCTGGGCCACAAGTTGAACCCTGTGGAGTACCAAAAGAAAACTAAAAACGAACAAATTGAAATCTTGTCCTAGAAAAAAAAGTAAAAAAAGAATTAAAAGAATTCATTTATAATAAATAGACATTTTTTTAAAATTTAAACTTTTTTAAATTCTTATTAAAAGAAAAGCGTCGTACTCTGTCAGAGTAAAAATTTAGACTAAGTAGCCTTCAGTAGTTAAATAAGCTATTGTTCTGTCAACTTATACCCTCCGGGGAGCATAGGTAAATAGAAAGATAGATAGGCAAGTAATGACCTTTTTAAACTAATTTATCAATCCGTGTAATGGCTGCCATGTTTACAATTGTTTAGTTAGGTTTTTTGCTTTATTGTTCTGTTTTTAGTTGAAATGTTGTAGATTTTGAATGCCTGTGACCTTAAACAAAGTTTAATTGAACTTAATTGTCTTTAAATTAGTCTTTAACCCCCNCATCTCTCTCCATCTCTCTCCATCTCTCTCCATCTCTCTCCATCTCTCTCCATCTCTCTCCATCTCTCTCCATCTCTCTCCATCTCTCTCCATCTCTCTCCATCTCTCTCCATCTCTCTCCATCTCTCTCCATCTCTCTCCATCTCTCTCCATCTCTCTCCATCTCTCTCCATCTCTCTCCATCTCTCTCCATCTCTCTCCATCTCTCTCCATCTCTCTCCATCTCTCTCCATCTCTCTCCATCTCTCTCCATCTCTCTCCATCTCTCTCCATCTCTCTCCATCTCTCTCCATCTCTCTCCATCTCTCTCCATCTCTCTCCATCTCTCTCCATCTCTCTCCATCTCTCTCCATCTCTCTCCATCTCTCTCCATCTCTCTCCATCTCTCTCCATCTCTCTCCATCTCTCTCCATCTCTCTCCATCTCTCTCCATCTCTCTCCATCTCTCTCCATCTCTCTCCATCTCTCTCCATCTCTCTCCATCTCTCTCCATCTCTCTCCATCTCTCTCCATCTCTCTCCATCTCTCTCCATCTCTCTCCATCTCTCTCCATCTCTCTCCATCTCTCTCCATCTCTCTCCATCTCTCTCCATCTCTCTCCATCTCTCTCCATCTCTCTCCATCTCTCTCCATCTCTCTCCATCTCTCTCCATCTATCTCCATCTCTCTCCATCTATGTCCATCTCTGTCCATTTTCAAGAATTTAACCGAAGAATAAGAATACGAATTCTACCCATGTTAGCTGTGCGCATCGCCTTTTTTGCTGTAACATTGGCGCATACAAAGAATACGCATATTTTAGGTGTATATATGAATGTATGCGTATAAATACGCCAATTAAAAATTCAAACACATACATTTTCATAAGATATGTACATTTAAACCTGTCAACATAAGCATTACTATTCATTCGAGATAACAGCCAATTTAATTCATTCACTCCACAAGTCATGTACACTTCCATTAATTCCAGCAAACATACAAACTCCATTTACTCCACTAGTCAAAATACTTCCATTCGTTCCACCAGCCATACATAGTTCTACTCATTCCACTAGTCATAATACTTCCATTAATTCTACCAGTCATATTTAATTCCATTCATACCACCAGTCATAATATGTCCATTGATTCCACCAGTCAGACATACTTCCATTCGTTCCACTAGTCATAATACTTCCATTCATTCCACTTGTCATATATATACTTCCATTCATTCCACCAGTCTTACATACATTTTTATTCATTCCACTAGTCATAATACTTCCATTAATTCGACCAGTCATATTTAATTCCATACATTCCACCAGTCATACATACCTCCATTTATTCCACTAGTCATAATACTTCCGTTCATTCCACTAGTCATATATATACTTCCATTCATTCCACCAGTCATAATGCTTCCATTAATTCTAACAGTCATACTGCCAGTGCCATTCATTACATCAGTCATATATACTTCCATTCGTATAGTTATAAATATTATATACGTCCATGCATTCCACCAGTTATTTCACTATAGTTATTAACATCATTCCATTCATTCCACTTCCACAAGTTATTAATATCAGCTTCCATTCATTCCACTACTTATTGATATCATTCCATTCATTCGACATTCGACTAGATTTTCATGTATTGATTCCAATTGTCCGTCCTAATATACGAATTTTGGTTAAAGTAAAATCTTCCCGTGGCCCATCTTAATATAGGAAATATCATTTGATTTTAAAAAAATGGTCACCTTTATAGCTTCTGAAAAAGATTGATTCACTTTTTATAACTTCGATTAGTTTTATTCTATTTAAACACTTCAAAATAAAAAGCGTCGGATTTAACACTGAAAAGTTTACAGTTAACCGGTTTTCCCAGAGTACACTTTGAAGCGGGGTTACGCAGTTTGTGCGTAAACTCTGCTCTGTCCTGCGTACACTAGCAGACTGACCACTCACTTTATAAACAAATTATAGGCACACACACACACACTCCCTCTTACGAACACACACTTATATCAACAATCAACAAAAACACACAATAATACACATTTATCTTATAAAAAAGTTGAGTTAAGTTTTATTAATTTGTTTGGTCGGGTATTAATATTATACATTTTTATATTTAAGATTTTCAGGCTTTCAGGATAATTGAGACAACATATAGTTGGTATAGCTGGTATAGTTGGTATAGTTGGTATAGTTGGTATAGTTGGTATAGTTGGTATAGTTGGTATAGTTGGTATAGTTGGTATAGTTGGTATAGTTGGTATAGTTGGTATAGTTGGTATAGTTGGTATAGTTGGTATAGTTGGTATAGTTGGTATAGTTGGTATAGTTGGTATAGTTGGTATAGTTGGTATAGTTGGTATAGTTGGTATAGTTGGTATAGTTGGTATAGTTGGTATAGTTGGTATAGTTGGTATAGTTGGTATAGTTGGTATAGTTGGTATAGTTGGTATAGTTGGTANCTGAACACTGAACACTGAACACTGAACACTGAACACTGAACACTGAACACTGAACACTGAACACTGAACACTGAACACTGAACACTAAACACTAAACACTAAACACTAAACACTAAACACTAAACACTAAACACTGAACACTGAACACTGAACAGACATTGAACAATAAACAAGTATATATGCATTTATGCACTAAAACATCATGCTGCAGATTTGCTTAAATAGGCCACATAGATCCAGACTGCTATTAAAATTTGCAACAATTGTCAAGACTGGATCAACTGTTAAGTGTCGCAACGTCTAGGTCCTTGATTTAACCCAACTAACTTAACTCACACTTGTAAGCTTTTTGTAGCCCAGGACATGTACTTATTAAAACTATAAAGCAGATATCTATAACTTTAGTTTTTAAGAAGTAATTGGCAGAAATGGTTTTAGCTTGCAACATTTGGATCACTGTGAGGCCTCAAACTAAAGAAACATAAATGTTTATTTTGAAACTAAAAATCTGACATGATAGCATTGATTGACAAGTCAATAACAGACACATTTTCCAGATAAAGAGACAAACTAATAGACAGGTTATAGACAAACTAATAGACAGGTTATAGACAAACTAATAGACAGGTTATAGACAGACAACAAGTAATAGTTAAGACAACAAAGGCAATTTACAGGCAAAATACCATCATTTGAAAGACAAAAGATAGACTGGCAAAATATGTCAAACAGATATTACAGCAGTAGTTTGGCAACAGTGGTAGACAGTGTAGTAGACACCTCTAAAATACGACATCTGTTCTTTTAAAGTGCTTGAAGCAATCTGTGCTATCAATAGGTGCTTTTTTATGGTATTTAAAATAGATAACTAGATAGATAGATGGATAGATGGATAGATGGATAGATGGATAGATGGATAGATGGATAGATGGATAGATGGATAGATGGATAGATGGATAGATAATCTTGACACATCTAAATATCTTCAAGTAATACAGAAAAAAATTGCATGTAATTACCAAGCCACACTTCGTCGAACTCTTGCTTTA